TAAGATGCACAGGAGGGCTAGGGAGATGGCTCAGTGGGTAAAGGGGCTTTCTGCCAAGTTTGCCAACCTAAGTCTAATCTCCCTTGTAAAAGGGGAAGAGCAGAACTTATTCTGCAGTTGACCTTTGACCTCCACATGTGTCATAATATCTACACACAGACAAGCACACATTTTTTAAAATTTAAATGTTACTGGACATATCAAAATTTTATAAATACATTACATCACTACAGCAAAGACTCTTGAGAATTCTTGTCAGTTGGACCAGGCCAAGGTTGTGTGCATGTGACTGTATGAGGCCAGCAAGGAACCCCAATTCCCCAGGATCCACCTGTTTAGCACCCCAGTGGTGAGTTACATACAGGTGCACAACGGCCATGTCAGGCATTTACATGGGTACTGGGAACCCAAACCCAGGTCCCTCATGCTTGCAGAGCAAACACACACTGATTCATCCCCTCAGCCCTGACCCAGACTTTATCAGTAAATGATTTATTAGTTATGTGACAAACTTCTGCTGTGGGACAATGGCCTTGTACCCTGTAAATGTTTGCCAGTTGTACTGGTTTAATAAAATGCTGTCTGGCCAGTAGCCAGGTAGGAAGTATAGGCGGAGCAAACAGAACAGGAGAATTCTGGAAGAGGAAAGGCTCAGTCTGCAGTCATCACTCAGACACAAAGGAAGCAAGATGAGAATGCCTCGCTGATAAAAGGTACCAAGCCACATAGCTAACAGAGAATTATGGGTTGATGTAGGATGTTAAGAGTTAATAAGAAGTCTGAGCTACTAGGCCAACCAGTTTATAATTATTGTAGGCCTCTTGTGTGTTTCTTTGGGACTGAACGGCTGTGGGCCCAGGTGGGCCAGAAACCACTGTCAATACACTTCAGCCACAGAGCCTGTCTTCTAAAGACAATCATTGTTTAAGACAACCCAACAGAGCGGAGAGATAGCTCAGTAGGTAAAGGGACTGCAAGTACAAGGTCCTGAGTTGAATCACCACATTCACATCTTTTAAAAGCTGGGCCTGTGAATGGGGTACATGCTTGTAATCCCAGGTCTGAGGAGGCGGAGACAAACAGATGCCTGTGGGCTATGTGGCCAGCCAGCCAGCCTAACCTGTAGACCCAGACCAATGAGAAACCCTGACTCAAAAAACGGTGGTTCAGGCATGAAGAAAGACACTAGACGTCCTCTGACCTCCATTAGTGTGCACACACGTACCCCACAATGTAATTTTTCAGCCACAGATAAGGCTGCACTTTCGGGTTCTAAAGGAAGGCACGTGAGGACAGGCCCTCAGGCATAAAAGACCCCACGTGACCCATGTGCACGCATGCGTGAGTCACCCCTCATCTGTGTCATCAGCATGACATAGTCACACCAACCCCCTGTGCACATGTACTAGGCAGCTTTTAAAAGCTGGACGTGCCATCTTTCACGCGCATGCGTTCTCTCTCTCTCTGCACACCTTTTCCTAGGCCTGTATGCACGCCCCCTAATAAACTCCTAAGCGGAATTGTTGGTGATCCGTGTCTCCTCCTCACTCGCGCCTGGTAATTTCACACCCTCCATATACACAAAGATATAATCAAACAAGCAGTTACATTAGGTAAAAAAAGAATTCATAAACACAATTATGATTTAAGAACTAAGTTCTTATATTTAAATATTATTAAAGTCATAAGAATATTAGACACAGAATATCTTGTGTATATTCTAACAAGACTTCATAGAAATCATAAATTATAAAACCTAATACAAATGTTTGCAAAATGTCAATAAGCATAAAAATGACTGTTATTAGTGTTATGAAATTGCCTGTGGGTCCCAAGCAGCTTGCAGCAGGCAGGGTCCCGGTGCCTGGTTCCAAGCATGGGGGGTGGGGTCGGGTCTGGCAGCTGTCCGACAGCCGCCGCCAGCCCCAGTGAGCAGGCAGCATGTAGGAGCAGGCAGCGTGTAGGAGGCACAGACACATAGTACGGAACAGAATTGGATATTTATTAGTTGAATTATGGAATGGGAAGGAAAGAGGGGAGAAGGGTGGAAAGAGAGGAGAGAGAGAGAAAGGGAAGAGAAAAGAGAGGACAGAGAGAGAGAGAGGGAAGAGAGAAGAAGTGGGGAGAAGGAGAGCATGAGGGGCCAAAAGGAAGTCAAGATGGCGAGAGGAGGGGCAGCCGCCAGGAGTGGGCGTGACTTGTCTCTTAAAGTGACAAACAATCATAACAATTAGGGGGTTAGAAAGATACTTTGTACACCAAATGCTTGTCATGTAACATGAAGACCTGAATTCAGATCTCCAAAACCCCTGTAAAAGCCAGGAACATCAGCGAAGATCCATAACCCTAGAGCTGTGGGTAGGATGGAGGTGGAGCCAAACAAGGAAGACTGGCAGAGGCTTGGAGCTCATTGGCCGGCCAGCCTAGACAAACAGTGAATTCTATATTCAGAGAAAGACCCTGCCTTAAAAACTAAGGTGGAGAAAAGAAAGACAAGAAGTGGGAGAGGAGAGGAAGAAGGAACCTGGGAGGGGGAGAAGGGGAAGATTTATGAATATGATTAAGATATACTGTACGAAATTCTCAAAGACTTAAATTATTACTTTAAAAAGAAAGGCTAGAAAACACTTTCTAATTTTTCTAAACTCAATCTTAACTTCATTTTTAGTTGTCTCAACTCCATCTAGTTTCTCATCTATCAATAAACATTTACATTAGTTACATCACAAAATTATAGCTATTAGGAATAAATGTTAGGGGAAAACTAATTATTTTAACAGTGACTAGTATAAAAGCTACTTTTCAAAAGCAAAAACCTTGTTGATAGTTATTTAAATGATTAAAAGATGAAAATCCATCCTGCCACTTTATATAAAAAAAAACCCAAATATAGGCCAATAAGACTTTAATCTAGAAAATTTTACACCAGAATTCTATTCCTCATTTATTGACTACAACTCTTTTACATATGTAACTACCGTAAACCAGCAGCACTTGGAAGCCATGCTGTAGCAAAGCTGAGAGCAGTGAACACCTGAGAAAAGAAGCAGCTTCAGTAAGGAATTTTCTAGTTCTAGAAACCAGAGCCTGCTGCTCTTCCTCTTCAGAAAAAGTCTTGTTTGAGCTGTTTAGGGGTTGTAAAGAGCTTAAATGTACACAAGCTGTATTTTTAAATCAAATTCAGAGAAAGGCAGTAAGAGCCTTCACAGAGCAATATCTGAATTAGTATGTAAAAAGGAAAGCTTAAGAATATTTACATCATCAACCATAAGGGAAAACTATGTAACATCACTTTCAAGGAAACGGAAATAGAGATCATTGTTATATAAAATAAGCCACATACAGAAAGACAAGTGCCACAGGTTCTTCACTCGCATATAGAAATTAGAATTAGGGCTGGAGAGATGGCTCAGTGGTTAAGAGCACTGACTGCTCATCTGGAGGTTCTGAGTTCAATTCCCAGCACTCACATGGTGGTTCACAACCATCTATAATGAGGTCTGGTGCCCTCTTCTGGCCTGCAGGCATACATGTAGACAAAACACTGTACCCACAATAAAAAAAAAAAGAAATTAGAATTAAAGGAGGTTGTTTTGTACAAATACATAGAACCAAATGATAGAGGCATGCATAGATCCACTGCAAAAATAGCTGGAAATTCTGTTCTAATCCCATGCCAAAATACATAGTAAAACTTAATCTAATGCAAAACTTAGTGATTTTTTTAAAAGAATAAAGCAAGTCAGCACCAAAAGCAATTTTTAAAATTGGAGACTAAACAAAATCAGATAAAGGAAAAATGGGTCTGTAAGTGCTTTTGCCCCACAGAAGGCTCATACAGGAAGCTAAATATAATACTGGCTAAAGAAAGAATTAAAATAAGTAACAAATATATTCATAAAGGCAACTGTCACGAATTCTCTCAATATAAAGCAACTCATTCTCCAAGGTCAGACCAGCCACTGTTTTTAAAGAGTGCAGAGGCATTAAACCTGGAAGACCCGACTCAGTCTTCCCCTGGGGAAAGCCCAGATCCTCAAGAGGGAAGAATAAGCATGGTCTGAGAGGCCCCATCAGTTGCCAGGAGAGCCTGGAGCATAACTAACTTAATCCTGAGTGTACTCTCCATCACCCTTTCCCAACCCGCTGGGACCGAAGAGAACGCAGCAAGCCCTGGGTAACACGGAGGACAGCTGCGGACAGTCTCTATTCACAGCCTCTTTCCGTCAGAGAAATGGTCATAAAACCTATGGACATGAAATAAGTACAAAAAATTCACTGATAAATTTTACCATTTATTAAAGACGAAGGGACTGGGGAGATGGCTCAAAGGTTAAAGCACTGGTGTTGAGCGGGCGGACAGAAGTTTCGATTCCCAGAACCCATGTAAATGCCAGGTGGGTATGACAGCCCACCTTGAATTCCAGCCTCCGAAGGCAGAGAAAAGGTATCCCCAGAGCAAGCTATAGAAAGAAAGCTACAGAAGAAACCAGCTGTACTAGTGAGCTCTAGGTCTGGCTGAGACCCTGCCTCAGTGAATAAGGTAGGATGGAGGACTCCTGATGTCAGCCCCAGGCCTCCACCTGCATGTGTACACACAAACAGAAGCAGGTTAAAATAAATTGGCATCCTCATGAAATGAATGTACTTGTTTATTTTTTTGATAAAGAATTAAAGGTTCGCTTAATATTTGACATTAAAAAGATGCACCGTTGATTACAATTTTGATTTTATAATCATAAATGCTTTTCCTATAAGGGCAGAAAGCTTTGTATAAAAGACACAACAGTCTTGAATCTCAGCTGAGGATTTATTTTCAGAGCTAGAAGAAGCAATACTTCCTATCTTCATTCATTGTCCAATATTAGATATGTTTTCCTAATTGTAACATTTTTATATACAAGTCTTTATTATGAATTAATGCATACAATATAGACATAAATATACACTGACGCATATAGGTTTTGATTTTTTGACCTTTTTTGTTTGTTTGTCTTAAACAATGTACCAATGGCCGGGCTATGGCAGCTGCTGAGAAGAAACAGCTCCCATGCATAAATCACAGGATTTCTCTGGCCCATCGCAGCCACAAGAAAGCTGTGCCTACACAACACCTCCAGCAAGCACAGGGCACAGTTTTTAAAACACACCGTGAGAGTGACATAACCATTAACACACGCGAAGCTGACGGTGCAGACCAATGTCTCCACGACACCACGCGGTCCTACTGGCTTCCATCACCATCCCCTCCCTTTGCACTCACTGTGAATCTCTTCTGTTGCTGGTTTTGTCTTTTCCCTCTCAAACCCACAGTGAAAGCCTTTGGAGGTGCTTAGGAGGAACCCTGAGCCTGTAGGGGAAACTGACAACACCGGGCCCTAGCACTGCCAGTGTTATTCTCCTGCATCTGTCGGGAGAGAAAGAATTTTTAAATGCCTCTTGAATAGACTGTCTTTATGGAAAGTTGTCCCAAATTTGGTAACTGAATGCAGTATGCCCAGATGATCAGACTTTGGGGGGGGCAATAGTTCCTCCTCCTTCTCCATACAGCATCAACAGTTATACAGGTGCAGAAACGAACTATGAAGGACTTCTGAACAACATGACGCACTGCACTGACTCACAAATGATGGATGTTAAAATATTCTAAATACTTCAAAATTTTTACACTACTTAGTAGGGGAGAAATATACTGACAACTCTAAACTTTACTAGGTACAAGTCTGGAAACAGTCATCAAGAAAATGAATGACAGAATATACAATAGCCAAACGTGTTTGAAAGGAATCAAGAAGTTTAAAGAAAATTTCAATTATCCCATGAAGATTAAAAAGAAAAGCATATCAAAAATAGAAACTACAGGGCTGGGGCATCAGTTTGGTGGTTAGGAGCACTTGCTATCTGTGCAGAGGACCCGGGTCTGGTCCCTAGCACCAATGCCGCTCATAAGCCTGCAATTGCAGTTCCAACTGGGTTTCCTTTTCTCATGAGGGTGCCATGCATGCTTGTGATGCACATACATACGTGCAGGCAAAAATAGTCACACACAGAAAATAAAAGTAACTCTTAAAAAAAGAAAAGGAAAGAAAAAAATTCAGCAGAAAGTGGAGGCACATGTCTTTAATCCCAGCACCCGAGAAACAGAGAGGATGGCAAATCTCTGCAAGTTTCAGGCCAGACAGGGATATATAAGGAGGTGCTGTCTGGGGAAAAAATGCAAATGATGATCAAGTAAGTCTGAATGTTATTGGTTACAATAAAGCTAGACTAATCTCATCCACCGAAAGGCCTAACAACGGCAGTAGCTACATTTATTGGGTATTTACTGTTGTGCTTTATACATTAACTCCATTAACCCTCATACCACATACAACAGAGCCTATTCTCTCCAGCCTCCTATAAATTAGTAAAGTGATGTTAACAAAGTCACTGTCACAGTTTGAATAAAAATGGCCCCACAGGCTCACATATTTGAATGCTTGCTCACCAGGGAGTAGCCCTATCTGGAAGAATTAGGAATGAGGTGGGGTTTGGTTGGAGGAAGTACGTCACTGGGGGTGTGCTCTGAGGCTCCAAAAGCCAAGCCTACAGATGAGGATGCAGCTCTCAGCTACCGCTGCGGTGTCTGCCTGCATGCCAACACGCTTCCCGCTAGGATATTAACGGTCTAAAACTCTAAACTGTAGGCAAGCCCCAATTAAAGGCCTTCTTTTGTAAAAGTTGCTTTAGTTATGGTGTCTCTTCACAACAATAGAGCACTGATGAAGGCGGTTACCCAGAGCTGGTCCTGAAACTACGGAAGTTTAATTTTTGAGATCATAACATAGGCCGGTGGCTTAGGAGAAACTCAGTTTGTCAAACAGCACATGAAATGTTTCCATCTTAACTGCGATATTACCCATTTTGCTACAGTGTTATTGCTTTTTCCTAGCTCCCTCCTCCACCTCTAATCCATCATCCCAGTCTCTATAGCAATGGTTCTCAACCTGTGGGGTGTGACCCCTGAGGTGGGGCGGAGCAACAAATGACTCTTTCACAGGGGTTGCCTAAGACCATCAGAATACACAGATATTCATATTACGATTCACTGAAGTAACAAAATTAGTTACGACGTAGCAACAAAAATAATTTGATAATTGGGGGTCACCACAACATGAGGAACTGTGTAAAGGGTCTCAGCATTAGGAAGGTTGAGAACCACACTGTTCCATAGCCTTTCTAAATGGACACATACTATATTATGGTCACCTCTCTGAATTCTGCATTTCTTTCAGGACAAAAATGGGCAGCTCTCCCAAAGGGGCACCTGTCCCAAAGAACAGACATGAAACTAACTCCTCCAAATGATCTACTGTTGTGACAGAGTAAGGTCTGCATGTCACACAGCCTGTTCAAACACCTTCTTTCCGGCCATACTCAAGTTAGAGGACAGAAGCTAGGATATGGGGGCATGGCCTTCCTTAGCATATTTCCAATTTAAAGTTTGCTTTACATTTCCTGGTTGGAGGTTTTACATACATTGATTTTCAATCATTAACATACTTCCAGGGTGTAGGTACTATAGGACCCAGCCTAGACAAGCTCTATAGAGGTCTGAGTCTCAGTAGTTTACTCTGAGGCAATACCTGGTTCCGATAAAGACCACACACTGAGTCTACCCAGGCACGACCCAGGAACAGACCATCCAAAGGGAATTCCTAACGTTCCAACATATGTTGGAACACACCCATTGCTTTTCACCAAGACACCCCCAGACAAATGTCAGCCAATCAGGGGTCCTAAACCTTAGTAATCCTCACCCCCACCTTTGTTACTATAAAAACCCAACTCCTAACTGAGCTTGGGGCTCTCCAATCACTCCAATACGTTGGACACACGGTGAGACAGAGTTTGCAAACTTGTGTAATAAAGGCTCTTTGCTTTTACATACAGGACTCAGTTTCCTGGTGGGGTTTTTTTTTGGGGGGGGACTCCGTGAACTGGACATAACAGATACAGTTCCATTTTTGTAAGCAGTAAACTCAATTGCCAACAAGTACCTGGGTCCAAATCTCCAGTTCTAAATTTCTGCCCCGCCTTGAAAGTACATACTCCTTCAGTGAACTGTTCTTCACAACATCCAGGCTTGGCTATTGAGGTTCAGTTTTCTCTTAGTTCCGTTAGCCATCCCTGGAGCTTTAGACCTTACTGTTTTTATGCCTTCTCAAGTACATGGCAAATTCAGAAAAACTTCCGACTGAGCAGCTCACTCTCGGACAGGGACCGGGAGAAAAGAGGCCCCTTTCTCTCTAAGATGTATGTGTCCGGCAATCTCACTGAGGAGACTCTGAGCCGGCGGAAGCCTAGACCAACAGGAAATCAAGAAATAACAAGGTGGGAGTAAGACGGAAATGTAAGCAGGAAAGTGCGCGACTCACCCGCTCTCATTAAGGAAAAGAGATACTCACCCGTAGATTACAACACTCCGTACCGCCAGGACCCTTAAACTCCTAGCAGGAGATAACACGTGTTCTGCTTGGAGAGCTCGCGGTCCACTGAACCACCGCCTCTGTTGCAGAACCAATCAGGATGTTCTGTGTCATCATCCAGCGCCAGACATAGGCAAAGGCCCCGCTAAAGTAAACCCAGCGAGAACCACCGATGCCATGGTAACTGGGCAATGAGAGCTTCCCGCGCAATGCCTCCTGGGAGCAGTAGTTCCAGAATGTCCGACCCCTGTCTAACTGGTAGATGGTGGAACTACAACTCCCAGCACCACCCAAATGCAGCCTGTGACGAGGCGCGATTGTCACTGTTGTGGTCTAAGTCTAGGCCTGAACTTGAAAATATACTGCTGGCGTCCTAAGAAAAGTCTTCAAAGAAGAGAATGGAGCTGAGTCGCTGGAAACGGCTTTCAAGGAAGCTGAATCCCAAGGTGATCCCAATCGGAAGCTTTGAGAAACACGGGCCGGCCCTAGGCGTCACACTGTCCTGAAAGCCTGCCGCTTCCCCCTCCCTGCGATTCCTCACTCTCCCCTCGGGGGCATCCTTATCTGGTCTTGACTGACCTGGAGCCTGCACAGCTCTGAGAGTGGTTCTAGGAACCTTAGGGTCTGTGTACTCACCACTCTGGTGGGCAAAAACCTGTAAGGATTGTTCCCATCTAAGCGGAGAGGTCTACTAGTGCCCATTGGGGTGAGGGAAAGTTGCCCCTCATCCTTACCTCCAATAGCAGTTTTAGGAAACTTTCTGCACATTTCTTTCCCTCCCTTTCAAATCTTAGGTAAGGGATTTTTGAAAGGAAGAAAACAAATCACATTAAATTTTCTGCTGTTACCCCTTATATCCCCCCCTTCCAGTTTTACATCAGACATCTAAAATGAACCAGAAGTCCAAGTGGTTATATCTCAATTCTTTATCCATTTGGTTATTTCTATATTCCACCAGTGTTCAGCGATAGATCCTTCCTTTATTTGTTACCTCTTCTATACACTAGCTCCTAAAGACACACACAAACCGACAATGCCGTTTTAAACTTGGCACAGACAAAAGTGACGTGCAAAGTCACAGTCATACCAAGTGCGCTTTCCAGAATACCTTTTTAACAGTCACAAAAATAAATGCTTTAGATGTAAATGAGAGCATCGAGACGGAGGGGCGTCAACTTCCAGCTGCAGAGCAACTTCACCAGCTGTTTTCACCCCTTACTTCCGGTTTCTTGTATAAAGAAAGACAATCCTCGAGATGTGTGGCTTTTGTGGGGGCCCGGGGCAGTCATTCTTGTGGGTTATTCTAAATATAGAAACACTGTACACAGGGCACCTTCCACTTAGTGAAAATCATGTTCTTGATGCTAGAGGGCAGAGGCCAGAGCATTCGAGAGTGGGAACTGAGGTCGCTTCACCTGCAAAGTAGCAGTTGCATAATAGTGGGGCCCAAAATAGCTTCTGAATATAGATTTGATGATGAAAGGTAAAAAAAAATTGGGACAACTTAGAACTACAAAAAGAGGGATTTTTTCTTTTTTTTTCTTTTTGTTTTTGCTGATAGTGCTCATTATTACTGTCTAGAGGATAAAGAAAGTAAAAACACAAGAGCGCCTTGAAATTCAGCTGTGCTTGAATAGGATCGGCTCACTCTTTACTGCAGTGGC